CCCACTGCCTCGAAACGGGTTAACGTCGACCCGCTGCGGGCGCAAAAACAGACAGCGTCAACTTCAATCGAGGCGTGGTGACGTCACACCCGCACTATATGCACAGTTACTACGGTATACGGACGTTGCGCGACGGGCGAGCGTTCGCCCTTGGGCGACCAGCAGAGAAGAGCCTCGTGTGACGAGAATAGAGAATCAATTAGCACTCGCCGCGGGGAGTGCCTACACGAACCGGCGGCGGCCTTCACCAGACGTCACCGAATGGACCTCAGTGCCTTCCATCGCGAAGCCGGAGCAGTGCTTCCCCAGGCCCTTCGTAAGGACTCGAAGGTTTATTAACTCTCCAACGTGACCATCACATTAACCCGGGAATACATTCTCTCGTTTTTGTTGCCGTGCTCGCTCTCATGTGCACATACTTCGTCATTAAAAAAAAGGAAAGATGTTGATTAGTCTAGCACAGTCTTTCACAGGGGCGGCTCCAATATTGACCCTTGCAGCGAATTTATTCAAGCTAATAAATGCACATGCATAGTTTCGTTATTTTCAGCTTTACATTACATTCATATAGCATAATTCCTGTATTTTGCTCAGACGCAGGCTCTGCCGCTGAAACCTTCTTTTGGCTTCGGCAGGCCTAGCCGTATTTACTGCTTTTTTTTAAGAAATAAAAAGTGTTATTATCATTATTACTATTATTATTATTATTATTATTATTATTATTATTATTATTATTATTATTATTATTATTATTATTATTATTATTATTATTATTATTATTATTATTATTATTATTATTATTATTTCGTATTTCAAAAACAGGTTTAAACTGTGAATTTAAGTTTTCGTGATTTTTTAGGTGTCCCTTCCGTCGTATTTGTTACCAATATCACCCTTTGTCTGTACAAGTGAAGGTTTAAGAATTCCGTCATCATCATCATCAGCAGCAGCAGCAGCAGCATAATACTTGCAGAGCTTCTCTCATGCTGCTGTTTTCCTGTCTGCCATAGCCCTGATCCAACAATCGTTCTGCTATAATCCCCAAGCACAAGGACAGCGACAGCAACTGCACTGGCGCATACCAACCGAACACGGAGCACCGATTTCCTTTCAAGCTTCGGACCGGATGTGCTTTCCTTATAAGGGCATGGATATTGATCTCTCATCTTGCGCTTGTCCGCACGGCAACCAGAAGCAGGATGTCTGCAGGCGAATCACCACCTCGCTTCGTATAACCGGACGCCTGGTAATGCGAGAGGTATACGCCACCGCCTGGCGAAGACAATGGCGTCGGTGCGAGTCTTCCCAGGCCTGGCGGGACTCGTGAACAAAGGAGGGAGTGAACACACGAGCGACGTGTACCAGTGAACGCCATCGCGAAAACAATTTCTTATAATGCTTTTTTTTCTTCAGTAACCCCCTGAATTCGCTAGCCCGTGTGTTGTACGCCGTTAACGCGATACAGCCGGAAGAGATCTAAGCACCCGCATACCATATCTGCGTATAAATGGCACTGGAGATTTGCGTAATTACAAAACTGTGTCACGACGACGTGCGCTATTTCCCTCATTTTTACTGTCGTGCTTGCTCGCAGATACAGGTGCTCCATCACACCACGAATTGAAAGGAGAAAAGCCGAGATGATGGTTATGAGTCAAATTAGGTTAGAGTAAAGAAGACTCGAGAAACTCACACTCTAAGTTCCTCAATTTATATTAGGCGCTAGCATATTACCCTCTTTCGGGGCTTTGGTTCTGATGTTGATCCATTGAGCAAGCTTCTTCAAGCATAAAAGTTCGCATTCATATTTTCCCTAATATTGAGTTTTACAATCTATTCATAGGGTCCAATTTCTCAATTGCTTAATTCAAATGAGTCTCGCATTTTGCAGTCAAGTTTTTGTGAATTATTCAGCGTTATCACAGCTACCCGATTCGTTGGCCATAAACCACCGTCAGCATGTGTCAAGGTTTAGAAGTCCTTCTCAGTCATAATCATCATCCTCGCGCTCGTAGTATTTACAGAGCTGCTTTCACGTTGCTTGTTCTCTCTGTCGCCCCAGCCCTTGTCGCGCATTCGTCACGCTATAGAACTCTGGAGCTCAGGTACATTCACTGGCACAAGCTGGCGCCGACTACCCGAAGACAGGCGATCGGCGATTTCCTTTCAAGCTCCAGCGCCGATACGCTTCCCCTTACAAGGGCATCGCTTTCACGACGCGTCCTTCTTCTGTCTCCTGTGTAGTTTTTGCGCACAGCACCACGTCGCCTGATGTAACCGGGAGCATAGTAACGGGAGAAGTGTATGTCTGCGTCTGGCGAAGACAATGGCGCCGGTGCTGAGCCTTCCCACGTCTCGAGTGACTCGAGAACGAAGGCGCATGTGAGCACACACGCGACGTGTACCAGGCAACGCCATCGCGAAGACAGTTTCTACACACATTTGTTTTGTTTTTTTCTGCGGCTACAGATACTGCTTACACATGTGTTCTACTCAGTGCGTGGGTACCGGAAAATGATCGAAGCACTTCGCATGCCGTATTAGCGCCCATACGGTACGGCGACCAAACTGTGTAATTACAGAAATGGGTCCCGACGGCACAACGGGTTTGAAAGAAGCGGCAGTGAAATAAATTTGCTTCTTCAGATCACTAATGCTGCAGCACCAAAATACCCATAGTTCCAACACGATGAAACAATTTCACAAAAAAATTAAGAGTCAGTAAACAAATCTTTGTGTGTTCTTTTTTTTTCACAGCTGTTTTCAAGCAGCGTTGGCTCACCATATGGCGAACCTTACTTTTGGTAACACGGAGCAAAAAAGACAGTCCTATAGCTTCGCTTCTTTCAGATACGTTTCATGTTGTTAGACTCTATTTAATATTTCCGACAATGTGAAATCCAATAGGGCGACAAGAGGAAGAGAGCCTGATGAGACGAATGCCAAAAGCGACACTTTACCTTGAGTTTTACTGTGTTTATAGTGATTCTGACTACTGCTGACATATTTACGTTCACAGTTCACTCAACCGCCTAAAGATATTCATTCAGGCCTTTTGGTAAACATATATTATCTTTTTCGCGCATCAGCCTCTCTTCGCGTTGTGCAAGCTGTGTTGCCTATGTTCAAGCTGTGTTTTCCAGTGTTTACAACGCATGTCTTGCTTTGACGGCACTGAAAATGCCATTTTAGCGCACTAGCATGGTCGGACACAAAGCTTGAGATGTCACTTTAGTAATAACTTTTGGTTCATCACGTGCAAGTTCTTCCACCATTCGTGCAACGACACCAATAACGCTCTATCCTCATCTTCTCGCACTGAAGCATATTAACCATAACGTGAATATGCCACCTTCACATCATCATAGCCACTATGAAGTACTGGCACAATGAAAACTACGTTCATAACGCAATGCTAGAGTGTTATAAAACAAAGTAGTGCCTAGAACGAGCTTCGAAATGAAAAGTTCAAACAGGGCCAAGCTTCTTGGGGGGATTGGGGGTCTGCAAAGGGTAGTCATTCTAAAAATCGTGCATGGCTCCATCAAGTGGTGAAAATGTCGAATGCCTGCTTCACACTCGAAAGATCTGGGTTTGCATTGCTCCTGTAGATTTCTGGTTTTTATTTTTATTTAGTGTCACTTTTTAAAGCATTCTTTTTCTTGTTTCTTAAATCTAGCTTCCGTTTGCATGTATTGCTTCAAAAAGTGACTTGAAATGTGAAATAACACACAAATTCTACATTGAGCGTAATCACTTAATGCGGCAACGCATGGAATAAAAAAAACATTATTATGGCTCTAAGATTCTCAAATATGAGAAATATTCGTCACCAGTGTGCCTCACCATTCACTGTCAAAGAAATACAGCAGCGATGGCTGTAGCCACGGAATAAACGGAATACCAAACACTTCAAATATTGAATTATTTTTAAACAATGCATCTTTAACTTCTTTGTGACAGCTATATAAGGTTATTGTACTCCTCGAGCTCGATTATTGGAACAGCAAATCTAAACTGCATGAAAGTCAAAATAAATCATTCTACTAAACGCCTGAAGCTTTCAGCCTAACTTCATTTTTCCATAATTAAATTTCGACAGACCTTGCAATTGCCTTATGACAACCAGTCAGTCTGCTTTCACTTTCACCTGTACAGAAATCTGGAGATACCGAGAAATTCTAGATGGACATGGTCGAACATGCAGTAGCAAAGTAGAGTTCCTACAACTGCTTACGGGCACCAATACTTTGTCTATTGAAACACAAGCGGAAACGGAATGCCCATGCGTTTCGTTGCTAACATGAGAATAATTATACCTAAATTCAGAGCACTATGAAAATTCGTTTAGAGTGTGTCCAATGCAAACGGAGGTTAAAATTTGCAAGTTGCAATGTGCCACATAAAACATTTATTTGAAAATGAATGAAAGGTGATTTTTGTTAATTACCTGGATTTTACCTGGATCTTCCACGCAAGTGGCGTTTAGAGCTACGAAAGACTGACAGTGGCATCGGTTGAAAACTGCTTTCAAATTTATTTGGTGTTCGTAGGAAACGCCAATGTCTCCTGTTCTAGCGCGCCATTATATCGGTGTCAATTAGCTGAATTGCTGTCAGCTTATGTTACTTCCCATCCGGAAATCATCTTCGTTTAACTTCCCAATAGTCAGTCGAACATTTTCAGTGTTCTCGCTGAAATGCCCCGATAAGACACACATTTAGGCAAGAAGTGGTGGCTTGCAATGTATGAAGGCGACGCGCACCGGCGAGTACTCCAGGTGAGCATTATCATCACTTCTTGACGCCGGAAGTGCGGCTGGAACTAATCTTCTCGCTCACAATCAACCGCTCGCGTGGTGCGCCCAGTGCAACTTTATCTAGGCAGCTTTGTTTTCGATTCGCCAATTCGTTTGCGCGCGGACCCTTGCTCGTGCGCACGGCCCCACGAACGCCGGAGCCAATGGGGCCCTTTTCTTTGCACGCGGCACCAGTCACTGCCAAGATGCGGCTATAAATATGTTGCCGACCACGTCAACATCATTACAGAGCCGCATAGAGATCGAAGAGTGAGAAGCGTTTTTGAAGAAGCTTTTGGAGCAATATGGACAAGCCACCATGCAAGTGCGGAGGTAAGCTCTACGTTTCCTAGTACTCGATACTCGATATATATTCACAACGCGTGCACCACCAAAAGTGGTTAGCTTAGCTCATGTGTCGCAGCTGCGAGCTGTGGTTTTCAAATGTTCCTGTTTTCACTATGAAGCTCACTGGCAAAGCATCCTTTCTTAGTTGATCTCGGCTATCCTTTGCCTAATGTGTGCAGTTTTCTCATCTTCACTACGTTCGAAACTTGGCCTTTTCATTTCACTGAAGAGCCATAGCACTACATGAAAGGCCGGAATGAAGGTAACATGTCTCAGTATAAATCTATGCACTAACCAGCGCTAGCTACAGACAACATATGTGATATATGAAGTGCGTAGAAGGCTTGCACAAAACGCACTGCGGCTCACAATCATCCCCGACTTGAAACGTGGAAATCGCGCTGATGCCAGGCACGTCTTGATTGTTAAACCACCGAAGAAAAAATACCACACGTCGTCGACAGCATCCAACACTGACAGCTCATTGATACTTACAAAAGGCTATTCAGACTAACATAAATCCCGCGACTCGCAGACTTCTTTCCACATTTACTCCTTGCGTATAACAACTGGTTTAGCATTTGTCGCTTGAATACACGGCAAGCGCACGCTTCAACCATTGCTTGCGAACTGCCGAGCAGTCTACATGCAGGCATCTCCCTAACGCTTATCTTTTCGTACCTGCAAACTAAGGGAAATCTGTGCGCCGTTATCTGCTCAGCTGCGTCCCGATATCCGCACTGGGGCCATTGATAAGTCAATCGTGTCAAGTGGTCTCGTGATGACGACGCCTGTGTTTGCTCCCACCTAAATCTTTATTCCCAAACCGACATCAAAGGATTGTCTGTGGCGAGAGAAAATGCTGCACATGCCTTCATTGCATCTCACTATCGGGGTATTGAGATGTCCTCGTATGGTCACGCTTGCATGGTCATGATTTGGAATCAGAGTCGAGTTGCAGAGACATGCAGCTACTTCAGTTAGACCTCACAGATTCACTTCGACAGAATTAAAGAACCCCAGGTGGTCGTAATTTCCGGAGCCCTCCACTACGGCGTCTCTGATGATCATATGGTGGTTTTGGGACGTTAAACCCCACATATCAATCAATCAAATCATCAATCAAATCACTTCGACAGAACCACCCGCACATGTCTCCAGCCCTCGTAATGGGTCAGGGGCTCAGTTTTAGCCCTTCAGTCTTAACAGCAATACGTTAAGAAATCGTCACTACTATTCAATTTACCTATAGCACGAATTCCAAAACTGAGAAATGGCGCAGTGCCTGCGAATGAAATTTGATTTGGGGTGGATTTAGGGTGGTCCCCGCAGTGTCCGCATATCTCTGTGGCCAATGCATGGGGTTCTTTTCATATCGTCCAAATTAGCACTAGTTTTATTTCGTAAGGTGCTCGCTAAAAGGTACAGCAAAAAAGCTATATATAGTTATCCTGTGCATGGCTTTCATGCGGTCACCTCGACATAATGAAGAACTTTCATTTCACTCTATTTGCTACTGCAAGTATAGCTCTCGTAACAATGCATCTTCATTGCCCTACCGCAGTTCTCGTTATAAACTTGCGTGCCAGTTGACATGTCGACTACGCCAAATGTCAGGCTCTATTGACGCTCCAGTAATCGGCGAGATAGAGAAAGTTGTATATTCGCGTTGCAACGCGGCATAAACTGATAAAGGTTTTATTGTTTTGTTCATTTGACGTAAACGATAATGATACCAACTGATAATTACGTCTCTTGGTTTTTATTCGTGACGGAGGCATGCACTTATCGTCTAGATGAGAAATTAAACTTCCTTTTATTTCTTTGGTAATTACCGAACCGCTATACCCACCACAATTTGAAGTTATTAGTGAATTCGTACCTCTGAGGTGATAATATATATACTACAAACAAGGACCTCCGGACATTATCGCAATATTGAGCATACGGAGCAATCACGTGGGCCTCAGTTTCACTTTGGAAAAGCAGCGTCATCTAAATGACATCATGCACAGAGCGTGGGTGCACAAGGGGCATTTCCACAGCTCCTTATCTACAGCCTTATCAGTTCTCATTATGCAATGAAGTTCCAATATCTTACATATCTCTACGGAAACGCAACAGAGAAATTCGACAGTTTCCGCATACGTTGGAAGTAAGCGTTATGCGAAGCATGCAGAGGGAAGGCGACCATGTAGTAATTTTTATTGGTCTACACATCATGAAGTGACGTAATTATTTGTTTAAATGTTCCACGCACAGACATATGTTGGAAAGTTGCAGATTGTTATATAACCAGTTGTTTGAACTTGCGAACTATACCAACAGGAACGTGAGTATTAGCAACGTCGGAAGTGATAAGCTGATATGAATAGGAAGCACTCGTACTCGCGGGGATGGCAGCCATGTACACCGCTACATAAATTAACTCCAGCGCATGGCACACAACTACAAGTTACGTTAACCCGACCTAACGGCTGTATCATAGGAATACATAAGCAATATTTATAAAATTGGACAGACAGTACTTCAACCACAATCTCCGTTTCACAAACATAGAGTCTATTTGAAAAGTAGTTCCGAGACATGGCGTGGCTCACTAGTAGAATGCTTGATTGCCACACCGAATACTTGGATTGGATTCCAGGTGTGATCCAGACACTATATTTTTGCATTACTCTGGTCAACACTGCCAATGTTAGGTTTCTCTTAACGCTACGCGTTAAACTTTCTTATGTGTGTTCTTGTCGCTCCCGGAAAGATCAAAAGTGTCCATCAGTGGCACATACCCGCTCTTGGGTATGTGCCACTGTCAGGCGGGAAGTTTTTGACGACGTACGTGACCAAGATTGTGTTATTATTCATTTCTTGACTATGACGTCATATTCGTCAAACCATCTTGACTCTCTTATGCTAATTTTGGTTCACGGCAAGTCAACGGGGTGATCACGACTGCAACCAGACTTAAACGGTTAGATAGATAGATTGATAAATTGATTGATAGATTGATTGATAGATTGATCAATACAATGATTGATAGCCCCGCCGCGGTGGTCTAGTGGCTAAGGTACCCGGCTGCTGACCCGCAGGTCACGGGATCGAATCCCGGCTGCGGCGGCTGCATGTCCGATGGAGGCGGAAATGTTGTAGGCCCATGTGCTCATATTTGGGCGCATGTTAAAGAACCACAGGTGGTCGAAATTTCCGAAGCCCTCCACTACGGCGTCTCTCATAATCATAGCGTGGTTTTGGTAGGTTAAACCTGACAAATCATACAATGATTGATAGATTAATTGATCGATTGATGGATAGATTGATTGATAAATTGATTGATAAATGTCAAAAGTGCTTGCAGTACGCACACAAAGGAATTTTTCACATTTAAAACCATGACATGACTAGCTGAGCTGGCATTGCTTTGGCAGTACATATTGGTCTCTCATTGTTCGCTTCCGTTCTTCATTCCTCGCCGCAGATCCCAAGTGCGTATGTACCACACAGTGCAAGTGTGCCACTGGCGGATGCCCTTGTGACAGGTGCAAGAAATAGGAGCTGGCGCTGTGGAAGGTGTGTATACACCGGTCCATTTCCTATATACATCCGCCATGAAATGGCCGGATGTACATATTTATGAGTGACTGTTCTCAAATCAAGCCTGGAAAATGACGTCTCGGAGGTCAATATGGTTTTATTGCGTAAAGACTACTTTGTAATAGAAAATGTAAACGGCATTTTTCCACCTAATATGATTTTTTCCCGTCATATAAATCGAGCTCCAGGGCTCTGCATGTTTTTTTTTTTTCTTCCGGCGCTTTTTGCCTTTTAATCTTACGTCACACATTTACAAGTGACTGTTCTCAAATCAAGACTACAAAATTACATTTCTACAGTCCATATGGTTTTATTGTGCATGGACTATTTTCAAAACTAAAACGGAAAAAGCATTTTCGCTCCTAATGCGATTTTTTCGCGTCATGTGAGCAGAGTTCCAGGACATGTTTTTTTTTTTTTTCTGGCGGTGTTTGCCTTTTAATCAATCTTGGTCACATTGACCAACCTGAGGCTACTAGCATACGTCTTGATTGAAGAATGGAATGGTTTTAAAACACATTATATTGACTTTTCTTAATGTACCTAATGGCCAGTGCTGAACGGTAGGCAGTTTTTACACTCCTGTTGGCTTCCGTCAAGTGCTGGCCCACGTTTTTTTTTTTATTTCTTCAGATATAGTTACTGTACATAGTCATGCTTGCTTTTTTTACATTTTAACAAGAGTTCGGAGTCTTGTTGCTGAAGTTGAAGTGTACTGACCTTGTTGACATTGTGGACAAAATTTGTGCTGTGCGACCAATGCTCCTCTGCGATGGAACATGCTTATAAACGCCCAAGAATGTTGGAACATTTAGGGTAACTGGCACACGTGGAGGTGTGTTGATCGTCAACAATGCCTCAACATTTTAACCTCTCAACAAGGATCAAAGATTTCATCCTGAGGATACATGTTGTGTTGACAGGCTGCTGTGTTCACCTGCGGCCACAAGCACGAAGCCAAGCTCTTTGTCTTGTCAATGCAGCACAGTGCATTGCACTATCTGCAGCCAAAAATGGCCACAGTGTGCTTTCCTAACAGCAATAGCGCAAATCTACACGCAGCGCTGTTCGGTTGTAGCACTGTCCAATGCAGTACCAAGGTTTCTTGAGGAAGGCAGTGTATAAATTGTGTACATTATTTGTATTTCTTATTGTTGCAACACAATCGACGCCTTTGTTGTCACTGAAATCTTGGACATCATCGTGTCGCGACTACCGTTCAGCTTGCAAGACGTGGTACTTGTGGGTGCATTTCATTTTTGTAGCGTCCAGCAGGCTTTTGCCGCTGTCCTATGCAGATGTGTGGCAACAACATGAGGCTGTTATTTAGCCACTCTTTTGTAATTTAAGCTGTTGGTCTTATAAGTTGGTGCAATTATAAGGGGTGGGCAGTTATTTGTCCCTGATTTGCCCATTTTTATAGGCCTTTACTCGGGGGAACCAAGTGCCTGTGCTATACGTCCTTGCAGCATCAACAGAGCTGAAATCAAGACGATCAGGAATGTAATAAAAAAGCCCTTCGCAAGTGTCGGCTACACCTCAGTAACTTATCAAGCGTGCAATTTGTTAAAGTTCTCGCAAGTACTTAACTATGGTTGTGTGCACTGTTGATACGCATCCATTCGTTGTTTATCCTTTTTGTGTCGTGTCGAATTCGAGTAACTTATTGATTCGCATTGAGCTTTCTGTGTAGTCTACGATCAGCATGAGCCTCGCTTTCACAGATACAGGTCCCAACATATATGGCCTATTTACGAAATGTATGCGGTTTCAGATGAAAACGAAAGGTTCCCGTATTCAACCCGCCACTGCATCCAACCGAATTGCCTTCCGCCTTTCACCTCTTCGTACTGACAGAGTTGCGTTAATTGACTTGATACATGTCATAATTTGAAGCTGAGTTAGTTTCAATAGCAGCGATACTTCTGAGCAAGATATGCTAATAAATCAAACACATTTGATCCACAGGTTGAACTTGACATCACTGTTCCCGCTGTTAATTTATGTCTTATTGTATAGGCAGGAAGCAATATTGCAAAATACTGCCTTTACGTGAACGCAGATACACGGCTGATAATTTAGCCTCATCGAACAGTGCAGTATGAAACTGCAGAGGTAATGCCTGAGCTCTCTTCTGAATAAATGGTATGCGCTTTAATACAAGATGGCACTGGCCCCGACGTCAAGCAATACCAAGGTCGTTCCAGGCTAGCAGCTCATTTTATTGCCTGGCACAAAGCTAGCAGTTGATAGAGCAAAAGCACATTATTCGTATCGTTGGAAACAACGGCGAATCGGTTCACAAAGTAGATTGTGTGAGCGTAGCCCGAAAACTCTAATCAGAAGATTGCCACTCTTATTCGCAATAAACTTACCGCATTGTTCTTTTCATTCCAGTATCTGGTGCTTGAGCCATGGAAGCTTCCAGAAGGCCTTAAACGTGGGAAGACACGGCAAAAAAAAAATTATATGTCGGAGGCGTTCTCCTTTTTGAGAGCAAATAAAAAATGAAAAATGAACTGGTCTTATTTCTCGCTTCATTTTTACAGTATAGAATACGATGACGATATCATTTACAGTTATTAGCTATAGCGGCTACTATGCATTTATTACGCCCCGAAATCGACCTTCTCACGCCCTTTTAAGCAATTAGGATTACTGGTTTGTCTTTTCTAGGCAATATTTGACAAAGAAAACCTACTGTACCAACTTCATTTCCTTCCATTTTGCGGCACCCATGCCACAGTCGCCATTTCCATGTCTTGCTTTCATCAATAGACATTTATTCTACTGCATGGAATCATGGGTCTGGACTTATGATTCATATCTGGATCTCCTTCGAAGGCTACAAAAGCGTGCCATAAGAATAATAACTCACAGTAAGTGCAACGAGCCAAGCCGGCCGTTATTCCGATCGCTAAAAATACTACCCTTCGATCTTTTGCGTGACTATAAGATCGAACAGTATCGAAAAATACAATAGCCCTCTTGATGTCTCGTTATTTTATTCTTCTTCCCGCCCTACTAGAAGCCTGACGTTCGGTAACTTTAACTTGGCGCCAAGAAATAACGTTTATGGTGAGAGATTAATGCAATTCACAGGGATAAAGATCTGGAATAGTTTGCCCACTGAATTGAAGACATCACACATTGCTGCGGTAAAACTAAAAAAATCAATTCTTGAGCAAGCTGTAAATACTTCTTTTTCTCTTTGGTGGTAAGCACTTACATTTGTATAAATATACGCTGGTGAATCTTGTAAACCTAGCATTTTTTTTCTTCTAACTAAAACTTGTGATAGTTTGATGTTCTTTATGTATTTTAACTGATGTTTTTGGGTGTGTCCACGAAGTTATCTGTCATAACTTTTTGTATGCGCACATGCAGTTTTGTTTGGTGTGACCAGATTGTTTAAGAAGAGAAAGACTTCTCTACTCTTTATATGTGTATATTTACAGTGTCTGTATAGCTACATATGTATTATGTGTAATTGATATTTCCCGCTTCTGTCCAATACTTTTCTCTTTGGACCCTACACTAGCCTCAGGCAATGGGTCCAATCAGTGTTTGTAAACTTCATGTGACAAATGATAATAAACGTTCAATCAATCAATCAATCAATCAATCAATCAATCATACCTCAACTTCCAATTTTGTTTAGCTTTTGTTTCAATTTGACAATATTTAACTTGTCTAAGCAAGCAAATACATTTTTAAGTTTAGGCTGAAATGTTTTTAGAACCTTTCATCATGACAGATTTTTTTCGTAGCCAGAATGTGACCTTGTGAGTCAAATTTGTTTATTTATTTATTTATTTTTCTCTCTACATTTTTCTTTCCTAAGAACATCTTCACCTATACAACCGAAAAAATCTTCGGCAGCTCCCTAATTAGGGAGTTTTCAGAGTCACTTATTCTTACAGCTGGCGTTCAAAGTATCTTGAATGTCAAGTCCCGGGTGCTACACAGTCAACTACAGGCGTGATATATATCTTTCTCACTCAATTCGCGTTCCCATAGCAATAGCAGGATGCAGTTGCCGGAACAAACGCTTTTCTGAGGTAAGAAAAAACAGCATCTGAAAGGGGGAAAAAAAGGTGGCCCATGCAATTATTGGCGAGACAGCCGATTTCACAAACAATCCACAAATGCATAGTAATCACGAAATTCACGCGAAAATCCGGGCTTAAAGCTTGGATACCTGTTTTGGCTGAGCCATTTCTGGGCAAGTGAATTCTCTGGAAGAGAGTCCGCCTCGGTAAAAAAGTGGCTAGGGAGCTCGGCAGCCGACCCAAAGATTGCGGGTTCGTTCGTGGCTGTGGCGCTCGCATTTCGAAGGAGGTTAAATGGTGGAGCTCGCCCAGTGGACTGTGTGAAGTCAGGGCACGTAAAGAACACCAGATAGTCTGAATTTCTTTAGCCATCCACTTCGGCATCTCACATAATCATATGGTAGTTTCGGGACGTAACCCCCCACGTATTAATTCATTCTGAACTGCAACGCATGCACTGGAGCAGAGTGACGTCCCAATTTGTGTTCTACAATGTCCTTGTAGCCCCAAATCATTTACAAACGCTTAACTTGGCCTTCCTTGTGCAGACGGAATCGAACTTTTCTACAACACGCGGTCGGCTGATTAAGCCACCGTTTAGGGGAGAAATCTGCCGAAACCGACGCCGTAATGATACCTAACATAGTACTCGCGCATGCTAGGTTCTTTTGCTATAGTTTAAGCATGAGCAGAAGCTTGCACCAAGCGTGAGTTATGGCAGCTGTGGACAACCACAGCTTTAAACACAGCTTGCGCTGACGGGCTGCAAGGCGCACGTGGGGTCAGGCCTTTACACAGCCACGTGATCCACTGCTCTATACTAGTGTGATTCCGTCTGTAAAGAGCAGCTCTCAGCCGTTTTTTTTTTTTTTTTTCTCGTTCAAGCAGCGTGTTTCGTTAGGCTTTGTGTTGTGAGCGCGAGAACGAGCGCAGCGAAAGAACTCCTGGCTCGATCAGATCGAGCCACATGACGCTCCTTTTCCGTGCTGTTGTTCACGCTTACCGAAGCAGAAAGCAGCAAAAACGACTGATGAAGACAAAAAAAAGTAAACAGAAAAGAATTTACAAACGCGACAACATACAATAAATAAGTCAGCTTCGCAGTAGTGGCACCAAACCCGAAGAAAATGTGGATATGGGCAGTCCTCATTTCTATACATTCTTTTCTCTTATATATATATATATATATATATATATATATATATATATAGCCTGTCAATACATTCTTTTCTCTTTCACTGAATCTATCGCCTCCCGTCTATCACTTTCTTTTTGCTTTTTTCCCTATTTCTCCCTCTTTCTATGCTGTGCTTTACTCTTTCCTTTCTCCTTCTCTTCTTGACACCGTCATTTTCCTTTCCTCCGGCAACTTGGTATACTATACTATTCATGAATATGTTAGACTTTGCTAACGTACCTGGAGAGCTTTCGGATTATGGTTACGTGGATTCGCAAATCTCTAACAACTTTTTTTCCAAGAATTTGTCTTGTTCTCTTCCTTTCTTCTTTTCTCTACTTCTTCTAATACTCAGTTTTAAATTTATAGCTGCAATACAACACGTGAAGCATTTATTTCCGAAAGTGAAGAGACATCTTTTTACTGATTACTTGGACCAGTATATACCTGGATCTGATGCGCAACTAAGGACAACTGTAGGAACGACTGCTACTGTATATAGTGGTTGTAGTTTTCTTTTTTCAAGGTTGTTTACTCTTTTTTTTTTCAATTTTAGACACCCTGCGTTGTGCTTTATTCTATAGTTTTCTGCTGTCTCCGTTTCACTTAGGTGGCCTCAGATCAGGTAATGTTACACCCTCATCGCAACATTCTATTAGTAAACACGTACGCTTCTCACGCAAGCGCTTTGAGTTACTCCACTGAAATGCTCCGATAAGGTACTTAATTAGGCTAGACGCAGTGGTTTGTCTCAAGGACTTCTGCATGGTGCCGACTAACCGCGGTGAGCAACACAAGCTTGCGTAATCGAAAACATCCATGTCCTAGTATTCGCGCTCACAATCTGCGATCAAGCAGAGTGACCACCGAGCGTTTAACTAGGCAGCTGTGTTTTATGGGCGAAGTTTTTTATAGCGGCACCCGTTCGTCCGTCGTAGTGTGTAACAATTGTTACATTTTGACCTCCAAGGTGGTGCCGGTGAGAGATTTCTTCTGTGCGTTGTTGAACAATAAAAAATATTACTCAATGTACATGCCAATGGCTGCGAACGGGGAATAGACAGGAGCATTCGGTTTTTAGTTAACAGGCACGCTGCGATCCCCATTAGCAGCCATTGGCATGTACATTGAGCACTTTCTGACAAAAAAAGATTGCTACGTTATACTCGCTGGGCGTAACCTCCTTGGTTTTAGAAAGGTTTAGCGAGCGTTGGGCCACAGTGCCATGAATATAGTGAACTAGTATATACCAAGAACTCTAGGTGGTTAAAGGTGGGAAGTAGACCCGAAGCGCAAGCCGTAAGAAAGTGTGCGTGTTCCACCTATCGTTTAATCCTTGGAATAACCGCTTGATGGCGGTGCTTCAATATGGGGAATATATGATGAAAGGATGCGAGATGGTGGTACTTGGAGTGTTGAATAGATGGACGAACGGACACACAGAATGATGCATGGATGGACGCATGAACGGACGCAGGGGCGGATGAATGGACGAACGCAGGGACGAACGCACGAACAGACGTGCGCACGTACGGGCGGATGGACGCATGGACGGTCACACAGACGAACGCATGGACGGACGGAGGCAAGAACGAATGGACGGACGAATGCTTCGCCCCACTCTCCATCATTCACTCCGTGGATATCTTGCCAATTTTTTTTTTTCATTCGCTACGACATTTGCGCGTGACTCCATCCTAGTGCGCACGGCACAACGAACCCAGAAGCCGATAAGGCCCATTTCTTTGCACGCGGCCCCAGCGCAACACCGCGTTGTGGCTCTAAACATGGAGGAAGGAAAAGAAAGGAGGGAGCATGACGTCATGGCCACCAGTCTTTGCAATGCCAGCCCTGTTTCGAAGCCGGCAGTGTCGGCCCAACACGTAACCTTTCGCACCAATATCCCGCAAGCAACGAGCCTCGGCGAGACTTTGAAGTGTGGTGCCCGGTAGCTTTTCATCGGAAACGCGCTGGTTCGACGCAGACCGGCCAGCTCACGCAGGTGGTTCAAAACGCAACACCACCGAGAGTACGAAAACGTACCGCACGATCTGACGTTTTGATCACGTGTTGGGCCGACACGGTGGGCTTTACTTGGCTACCCTCATGTGACGTAATTCTCCATCATTTCGCTTTATTCCTCCGTGGCTAGAAAAGCATTTTCGGGCTAATAAACCTTATTATTTAGGCGGCGGAATAATATCGTGGGAATCGTTGTTGAAGGATATCGTATTTTTTTTAGCAACATGGACAAAGCCACCATGCAATTGTGCTACCAG